TATTTGTACAGCACACAGGACATCTTCGCACTGCCCAATCAGGCATGGTTTGCATCTTGGGTCCTATTGCAAAGCATCTCACACTATTTACCATGGCATCTGCACCAAAGTGCGTCATTTTGTGCAGGTCTTTCATCAGCTGTTCAGTCCTTGGTTTTGTCATTAGAATTTGTTCGTTAGGAGTCCTCCACCATTCATCTTCTTGTTTCTTACATTTCAATTTTTCTGCCAGTTGGACTTCCTTTATAGTATAGTTTGGTGGTTCAAGTGGAATTTTTGCTTGAGGGATCAAAGCTCCCTGAAAGTTTTCTGATGCTTTTCTTGCCGCTTCTTTTGCCATGAAATCTGCCCTTCTGTTGCCTTTAATTATATCTTGATCTCCCCTTTGGTGAGCCTTGCAGTGCATTACGGCTACAGCTTTAGGCTTCTGTGCTGCTTCTAATAATCGTAAGATTTCTGGGCCGTGTTTGACTGGTCCCCTACTTGTTGTCAATAGTCCTCTCTCTTTCCAGATAGCTCCATGGGCATGTAAGATTCCAAAGGCATACTTGGAGTCTGTTCAGCCTTCTGTGCCAAGGTATTGGAGAAAATGGCTTTGCTTCCACCCTGTCCCAGAGTGTTACTACGGCATATCCAGCTCTACGCTTTCTGTTATCCATAAAGCTGCTGCCATCAGTGAAATATTCAAGATCTGCATTGGGTATCGGCTCGTCTTTTAAATCAGCTCAGCCGGCGTATGTATGTTCAATAGTGTTCACACAGTCATGTTGGATTTCCTCTGCTTCTTCGTCTGGGAGAAGAGTTGGGTTCAGTGCATTAGTCAGTGACAGTTTTATGTACCCCTGGTCTATTAAAATAGCTTGGTACTTTGCCATTCGACTTGGGGATAGCCAGCAGTTTCCTTTGGCTTCCATCACAGTTAATAATGCATGTGTCACGAAGACCATCAGGGGCTTCTCCAGGGTTAGCTTCCTTGCTTCCTGGACCAGTAATGCTGTAGCTGCCACCGCTCTCAGGTGTGCCGGCCATCCTTTACTAGTTTTATCAAGCTGTTTAGAAAAGTAGGCTACTGGTCTTTTCCAGCTTCCCAACATCTGTGTCGTTATTCCTGCAACCACCCCCCTTCACTCATGCACAAAAAGTTGGAAGGGTTTTTCCATATTTGGCAGTCCCAGAGCCAGGGCTGACATTAGGGCCTTTACCTCTTTCTTCTGCAATAGCTGCTGCCAGAAGCAATGCCTGCAACTTTATCTTCTGTTTTTCCTTCTCTTTACATGCTTCCTGGTTGCTGTTTACTTTATATGCTATCTCAATTAATTTGCCAACATTCCTCCTGCTCCATCCACCTTCTGCAGCTTTTTCCTAATGTCTGGAGCTGATTGTCTTATGAACAGCATGTTAAACATTTTCTTATTTGCCTCATCATCCGCATCCATTTCTGTCCATTTTCTCACTGTTTCACAGAAATGCTCATAAAAGGCTGATGGACTCTCGTTGGGACCCTGACAAGCCTCATATAATTTAGATAGGTTTTTTAATTTTGGTACCCCGTGTAGGATACCATGCAAAATCATCTGCTGGTATTGTTTCAACAAAGCTGCATCATGACCAATGTTTCGATCCCACTCAGGTTCTCTTCTAGTTCGTATTACTTCTTCCACTTCATCCCAGGGGAATCTCCATCTCACCTCCTCCTGCACTTTTCTAGGACCATTGTTTCATCTGCGGTCAGAAGAGTGTTTAGTAAAGCCTGCATGTCCCCCCCAGTTAGGATTAGGGGTTATCAGAATAGTTTCAAGCAACTGATGCATTCCCAAGGGATTGTCTCTGTAAGGCTCAACTGACTGTTTCCAGTTCAACAAATATGATGTAGTAAATGGCACATGGATGAAGACAGGCTCCTCTCTTGTCTCCAGCGCTTGTTGTAGTGGAGCCTGGACTCTTGGTCTTATTTGTCATCTAGTGTGATGGGCAATTGGACTAGAATTTATACTTTCCCCAATCGAATCAGCCAAATTGTGGGGAGATGATGTAGCCCCGAACTTAGGGATATGCCCTGTGTTTCCTTTACAGCGGCGACAGGAGCACTTCCCTGTTCTGGTGACACCTGGTTTACAGATGAGCTCCCTGAGGGCGAATTATGCGTAGGGGGGCTGAGGGTAACAGTAATTGGACATCCTCTCATTCTGAACCAAGATAACTTTTTGGAGGCCTATTAGACTCCCCTTTAAGTTCAACACACAGCATCATACAGTTAATTTTTGACCCATAGTAAACTTGAGTTTTCTGATCCCGATATTGTGACATAAACTCTTCAACGTATAAAAATTCATCCCATTTCCCTGGTGTTTACAAAACAACATCAATTGCAAAATTGTATTATAATTTAAGGATCCATTTTCTGGCCATTGTTCACCATCATGTAATTTGTATTGGGTCTACCATTGGTTACTGTAATGCTTCATTTTACTTTTTGTCAAATGGTCATCCCCGAACTTAGACCAATTCTTAAGGATGCATCCCAAGGGGAAGCAGGGAAGAATCTTGGACTGGCTACTTCCCATTTTCTTCCAGCGGCTGCTCCCACTCAACCTTGACTTCCCCACTCAGTCCCCTGGGGAGGGCTCACAGATAACCAGGCCAGTCTTGCCAGTCCTCCAAGGCAGGGCTCACAGGTAATTAGCCCAGTCTTGCCAGAAGCTCATGGGCAATTAGCCCAGGCTTGCTGCACCAGAGCGTCTACATGTGAGACTGACAGTCCTCTCAAACAGTGCACATAAACTGCAAAGGGCAGGAGTACTCACCAGCCCAGTGGATCCCTCCGTCTCCCCAGGTTATCGGTGGATCTCTTTGGGCATTGCGCCGTTGTACCACTTGCGACCTTGGGCTGCCAGAAATCACCAGTGCGGGCTTGGTCTCAGGCATCCTGTGCCTCTGTTGCCGATAATAAGAATAAGCCTTGTTCTCATAATCCTGTCCAGACAAATTCCATGCAGCCAGGAACAGAACTGATACTGCCTGGGACCAAGAGAGAAGATTCACCTTCAAGACTAGTCTCTTTTCCTGTAGAAAATGCAAAATGTATAAATGTAGCAAACCACATCTGAGTTTAGTTTGTCAGCGATAGAAATACTAATCCCTCTTTGGTTTAATTTACAAAAACTGTCAGATCTTCTCTCCAGTAGGTAGCTTTTGAGCAATTGCTTGTGATCTTGCATCTGGAGACCTTCTTACCTAAGACTGACTACAGAATGAAGAGTTCAGTGACTGTTATATTTACATATTTTGCTTGTAAAATTATGTGGAGGACAAGATTTAGAAGTGTAAGATCTTACAAAGTTCATATTAAACAAAATTCTGAACATCCATAGTTAAAGTCTTTGTAATCCAGCAAACAAATACACAAATGACTACAGGGTAAGGTAACAGCAAAAAATTGATAGTGTGTACATCATTGGAGAAAAATGTCAGTATATAACCTCAAGGAAGTAATTAAAAGTATCAGGATTTAATTTTGAAGGACTGAATATTACAAGCAACACCTTGACAGAACAAGCTGTCAAGGTGTTGCTTGCAATGAACAGACAATGAAATAGTTTCTTAAACAAAATGACTGCAAATGGACATTTTAAAACTAGACAGGACACAAGTACAAATCCAAAACTGGGAAGAATTGTATTCTGGGTGTGAAGTGAACTGGGTGAGGTGATAAAGTCAAAAGCAGCAGAAATAGAAAAGATGTGTAAATAAAGCACTTCCAGATATTTGAGGATGAAAGGTGTTACAGGAACATAAACCACTAGTATTAATTTTTCACAGATGGACCAAAGAAACCATCAAAAGATGACACATTTAAATCTTCACATGAACAAAGGGAAAATGTGTTGGTTTTTTTTTTTTTTTACATTGAAGTAAACTAAACTAGGCTAATTGATGCTATTCAGAGAGAGTACAAGGGACTGATATCTCGCAGTATCAAGCTATAAAAGATAGAGTGAACTTTATGAAAGTATCTAGGAGAGGGTCAGGCAAATCTGGTCCCCACTGGGAAACTACTAAATCTGAAAATTAAAAAAAAAAAGTACAAGAGGAGGTGACATATTTTAAGTAGTATTGACCTTCTTAATATATGAAGCTGTTGACCAATAATTTGACTTAGTGCACATGTCTTGCTCATTCTTTCTCAGTTTTCAGCATTTTCCTTTATGTTAAGGATGAAGGATGTAGATGTACTTATAGGTCAGACCATGGCCTGTGTCTCATGTTTGTGAAACATTGAATGCTACAGGTGTCAAATCTGAGTCAAGGGGGTGTGAGCATTCTGGCTCTATTGAAATTTTGGTGTTGGAGAGAGAATACATAAGGAAAATTAAGTGCATTGGGCCACAGGGTGTTGGTAACACATAACTCCTGCATCTCCCAACAACAGGAAACTAAATTAAGAGATCACATATCCCACACAGCTCCCTACAGTGCTTTCTGGACATGCTGAGAGACTTTCAGATATTGTGAGCATTGTCAGATGTACCTCATTGATACAGCCAGATACATTACCTGACAGTGAAGAATCGATTGTGAATCCTGTCCTTCTTGTTGGCAACACTGTGTTAAAAATCCTTTGCTTTTAAGTTCTTCTTTGCAGGGGAACTATTTATTTATTACATTTTAGCTTTCACAAATCTGGGGCAGTTTGACAGAAAGACACTAAAGGAGAAAACCTAGCTCTTGCCTTGCGTCAATGTTTTGAGTCACCCACTTCAGCCAACATAAATAATTTGCCATTACTTTGCACTGAAGTAGGTATCTGCAAGGAAAAAGCCATTAAGGAAATTTTCCAAGACAGCAAATAAAGAGCCAGGAACAGAAGGCACCCTAAATTTGACTTATGATAACCCAGCTGTCTTTGGTCTTACTATCTCCTAGCTAGTTACACTTTCACTATGCTAGACACTGAGAGAAATGTTTTATTTTAATGACACTTCTTCACAATATTCCATGTTCTCCTAGGTTTGCCCCATCCCATCCCAGCCTCCTCAGCCTCCTGTTGTTCCAAAGCCAGTTCAACCTGTCATACATGTCCCATTGCAACCAAGCTGCCCGGGCCGAGGCAAGATGGCAAAGCTCATCAATCCGGAAGAGATGACATCCAGGGATTATTACTTTGATTCCTATGCTCACTTTGGAATTCATGAGGTAATATTTATTTTTATTTCAGCAATTATTACATCATCATCATCAGTAACAATACACCAACAATAATAATAATAATAATGTTTTCTTTGATGTATTAGTTATTTATCCCCCTCCCACTTGATCATTATTATATTCCCCTCCCTTTCCTCCGAAGATTGTATAATCTGGTTAAGCGCCAAAGATATCATTCACTTCTCTAGAGACTTGTACTCAAAACCTCTGTCCCACTTAGATCCTTACATATATGAGTTCTCCACAGAGCTTATATTAGCTATCTGTACAGTGGCGATTTAGTGCATTTACGAGGGCTGCAAACTAACCCAACCACACATGGAAACTACTGTATTGCTAAGTTACGTCTTTTGTTCTCTTGCATATTTGAGCATAGATGCCAGCAGAACAGCTACTCAACTGGCATGAGAAGCCAAGTGATTTCTTGACTCCTGGGATGTTAGTTGAATGCACAAGCGGCATTAATAGGAACTGATAGACAAATAGCCTTCAGTATATACACTCCTGGAAAGAATTCAAAATACATAGTGGACCATATCTACCATCAAAAAGTTGACTGTAGACTGATTCTAAAGAAGACACTAGTATCTTGTATTTATGTGACCCAAGAGGATGGGATCTTAAAGACTAAAATACAAAAAGGCCAACAATGTGAAATCGGTGTCACTTTTCACAAACCACATAACAAATGCTATCTGTTGCCATTACTCTAATAGTTGTTTGTGGGGTATATACATAAAAAAAGATTTCTATCTATCTGCCAATTACACCTTGCCAGTGTGGCATTTAGAAAGTCAATCCAAGAATGGAAGAAGACAGAGGAACAATTGAGTGGGAAGGAGACCTAAGAGAAATATTGAAGACACATCAGAGACCTCAAATCAGATTGAGCTCCTGATGGAAGGATGCAGCTCTGTAGGTCTCAAGGAGTGTAGGGAGTACCTGGGACCTCTTGCTGAGGCTGGGAAATGGGAGTTTGCCTCTTTGCCTAAAGGAGGTGTGTACTGGTAGAGGATTTGTGTCAACAGGTAAGAGCTGCTACAGGAGGCTGGCAGCCTCTACAGCATCAGGGAGATGAGGAAGAGACTGGATCTTCTGGTGAGATGGATGAGGAGCTGACTGAGAGCTTGTGGGTCAGGATTAAAGGGAGCGCAGGGACGGGAGGAATGTGAAGCTTGAGGGCAGCCTGGGATTCAATGACCATGAAATGGTGGAGTTCAAGATCCTTAGGGTGGCGAGGAAGGCACACAGCAAACTCACTACCCTGGACTTCAGGAGAGCAGACTTTGACCCCTTCAGGTTGTGCTTGGTAGAGTACCATCGGATAAAGCCCTGGAGGGAAGAGGGGCCCAGGAAAGCTGGTTGATATTCAAAGATCCCTTCCTCCAAGCTCAGGAAGAGGAAGCCAGGCAAAAATGCCAGGAGGCCTGCATGGTTGAACAACAGACTCTTGGGCAAGCTCAAGCAAAAAAAAAAGAAGCCTACAGAGGGTGGAAGCAAGGACAGGTAGCCTGGGGGGAATGCAGAGATACTGTCCGAGCAGCCAGGCATCATGTTAGAAAAGTTAAAGTCTTGACAGAATTAAATCTGTCCAAGGACGTGAAGGGCAACAAGAAAAGTTTTTATAGGTATGTCTGTGATAAAAGGAAGACTAGGGAAAACGTGGGCCCTCCGAAGAAGAATACGGGAGACCTGGTTACCCAGGATACTGAGAAGGCTGAGGTGCTCAACAACTTCTTTGCCTCAGTGTTCACTGGCAAGAGCTCAAGCCACACTGCCCAAATTGCAGAAGGTAGAGGAGCCCACTGTAGGAGAAGATCAGTTACGAGACCATCTGAAAAACCTGAAGATGCACAAGTCCTTGGGACCTGGTGAGATGCATCTGTGGGTCCTGGGGGAACTGGCAGATGAAGTTGCTAAGCCACTATCCATCATATTTGAGAAGTCATGGCACTCTGATGAAGTTCCTGGTGACTGGAAAAGGGGAAACAGAACCCCTGTTTTTAAAAAAGGAAATAAGGAAGAACTGGGAAACTACAGGCTGGTTGGTCTCACCTCTGTGCCTGGCAAGATCATGGAGCAGATCCTTCTGAAGGCTCTACTAAGGCACATGGAAAATCAGGAGGTGATTGGTGACAGCCAACATGGCTTCTCCAAGGGCAAATCATGCCTGACAAATTTGATGGCCTTCTACAATGGAGTCACAGTGTTGGTAGATGAGGGAAGAGCAACTGACATAATCTATCCGGACTTGTGCAAAGCCTTTGACCCACATGACATCCTTGTCTCTAAATTGGAGAGGCATGGCTTTAATGGAAGGACCACTCACTAGATAAGGAACTGGCTGTATGGTTGCACTCAAAGAGTTGTGGTCAATGGCTTAATGTCCAAGTGGAGACTGGTGATGAGTGGCGTTGCTCAGGGGTCAGTACTGGGCCCAGTGTTGTTTAAAATCTTTGTTGGAAAAAAGGACAGTGGGACTAAGTGTATGCTCAGTAAGTTTGCTGATGACACCAAGCTGTGTCATGCTGTTGACACGCTGGAGGGAAGGGGTACCATCCAGAGGGACCTGGACAGGCTAGAGATGTGGGCCCATGCAAACCTCATGAAGTTCAACAAGGCCAAGGGCAAAGTCCTGCATGTGGGTCGAGGAAATCCCAAGGACAAATACAGGCTGGGCGGAGAATGGATAGAGAAAAACCCTGAGGAGAAGGATTTCAGGGTGTTGGTCAATGAGAAGTTGAACATGACCCAGCAATGTGCGCTTGCAGCCCAGAAAGCCAACCACATACTGGGCTGCATCAAAAGAAACATAGCCAGCGGGTCAAAGGAGGTGATTTTCCCCCTCTACTCTGCTCTAGTGAGACTCCACCTGGAGTACTGTGTTCAGATGTGGGGCCCCCAACATAAAAAAGACATGGACCTGTTGGAGTAAGTTCAGAGGAGAGCCACAAAATTGGTCAGAGGGCTGGAGCACCTCCCCTATGAGGACAGGCTGAGAGAGTTGGGCTTGTTCAGCCTGGAGAAGAGAAGACTCTAGGGAGACCTTATAGCAGTCTTCCAGTACTCAGAGAGCCTACAGGAAGGATGGGGAAGCACTCCTTATCAAGGAGTGTAGCGAAAGGACGAGGAGTAACAGTTTTAAGCTGAAAGACAGTAGATTTAGATTAGATATTAGGAAGAAATTTTTTACTGTGAGGGTGGTGAGGCACTGGAACAAGTTGCCCAGAGAACTTGTGAATGCACCATTCCTGGAGGTATTCAAGGCCAGGTTGGATGAGGCTTTGAGCAACCTGATTTAATGGAAGGTATCCTTACCTATGACAGGGTTTAGAACTAGATGATCTTTAAGGTCCCTTCCAACCCAAACCATTCTATGATTCTGTGATTCTATGATTCTCCAAGATCTTAAAAGTACAAGAGTCTAAATCCCCAACTGTACTTGGAGGGGCAGTCAGAGTCTGTACTTATCAGGTTTGGAAGAGAAGACTTCTCTGATGGTGAAGGCTAGATATTTGTGACTTCTGGCAACAGAAGAGTCTGTCTCTGCCTTCTTTCCTTTCCAACTCAACAGATATTTTTACACATTGATAGGATGTGCCTGAGCCTTCTCTTCTCCAGGCAGAACAATCGTAGCTCTCTCAATCTCTCCTGACACGTCATATCCTCCAATCCCTTAGTCATCTTCACGGGCTTCCACTGGATCTGCTCCAACATATCTTGTCTTGGGGAACCCAGAACTGGACACAGGACCCCAGATGTGCTCTCACCAGTGTTGAACCACCTCCCTCGACCTGCTGGTGATGCTTTTTTTAGTGCAGCCCAAAATGCTGCAAGGGCACATAGCTGTTCAAACTGCTGTCCACCAGGTCCCCAAGGTCATTTTTGGCAAACACTGCTTTCCAGACAGCCAGTCCTAGTGCATGAGGCTATTCCTCCCCATGTGCAGGACTTCGTATTTCTCTTTGTTGACTTTCTTGAGTTTCCTGTCAGTTCTTTTGTTCACCTTGTTGAGGTCCCTCTGATTTGCAGCACAACCATCTGTCTGGTGAATCAACCAGTCCTCCCAATTTTATATCAGCTGCAAACTTGCTGAGACCGCACTCTGTCCTGTCCTCCAGGTTATTATTGAAGGTATCCAACAGTACTGGTGCCAGTACTGACTCCTGCGGGGATGCCACTAGCGACTGGCCTCCAGATGGACTTTGTGCTGCTGATCACAACATTTTGAGGGCAGCAGTTCAGTCCGTTTTCAGTCCAATTCACTTTCCATTTATGTATTCCATATTTCATCAGTTTTTCAATGAGGATGTTAAGGGAAACAGTGCTGAAAGTCTAGCAAAAATAAACAAGCATCCACTCCTCTTCCCTCATTCACAGAGCCTGTTATTTCACCATAGAAAGTTATCAGTCATATGCAAATCCATGCTGAACACTCACAGTCACCTTCTTGTCCTTAATATGTTTGGAAAGCTTCCATGAGGATGTACTGCATCACCTTTCCAGTGTTGTTGGACTATTCCTTTGCCTCTTTCTTTGCCTCATACCAAACCATGCTTTATGATTATAAAAATAGCCTTTTATTCATCTACAGTTATTGAGTACATATAGTGTCCTGCCAAGACAGGTAAGTGAGCAACTGATACATGTAATGATCCAGTGTACTAGTGCTTCAGTGAACTGATTCTTTTTATCCTGAAATTCAAAACCTCATTTGCCTGCTTGCTTAAACTATGAAACGATGGCAGTAGTACAAGCAAAAGTTCAGCCTTCTAGATGTAACAGAAGCATTCTGAGAAAATCAAAGTGTGTATTGAATGGTCTACACTTCTCTTAAAAATGGCACTTGGATCTTGACCTCAGTGCTCTTTATTGAAATAGTTTGACTGATATATGCACAATTGAGAGCAAGGTGTAAATGGAATGAAATGCCTGTATTGCCGCTATCAGTGAAACAAAAATCAACACCTAACAATGACAACTTAAAATAGTGAGATAGTCATCTAGGTTATACATTAACATCTTCTGGAAATTGGTCATATAAATGACTGAACAGAAGAACAGTAAGCAAGTACCATACAGCACAGTATCTCTAAGCTCTGCTATGGACTTCCTGCGTCATTTTGGGCAAGGCTATCAAGACTGCTGTCTTATAATGGTTTATGGAACAATTTCTTTTGTTTTCAAAGACAAACCTCAGAATGTCCCTCTGCTAAGGCTCTAGGTTGTGCATGATTTAGGAGAAAAGGAAAGCTTGGATTTCTGTACGGCTTCTGTCTATACCCAAAGCAGTGCTGCGGTTAGATTACATTCTGGTTGTCAATTGTAGTGAAGTAATATTTAGAGAAATAAAATTGTACAAAGGACATCATGTTTCTTTTTAATAACTCAGTTCTAAGTAGCTAGCATTTTACAGTTGCTTTGATGTGTGAACTCCAAAGTACTTGAAAAACTCTTCAAGTCATGTGTTAATAATGCTTAAATTATAATAAGGGAATGCATTCAGCAGCAGTGTTGAATGCATATAAGCACTTCAAATAGTAACACAGTGTTGTTGTTTTTTTAATCACAGGAAATGCTAAAGGATGAAGTGCGCACATTGACCTATAGAAACTCAATGTATCACAATAAACATGTTTTTAAAGATAAGATTGTCCTCGATGTTGGAAGTGGCACAGGAATCCTCTCTATGTTTGCTGCAAAAGCAGGAGCCAAGAAGGTATATGGGGTAAGAAGACTTTCTCTCATATTTTGTGTTTGTGCATTTTGCCTGAGAATTTGGCTTGGTGTTTTACCTTTTTTTACTTGTCTTGGTTTGAAATTCTTGTCTCCAAGCTCTTGTATGGCTTGATTTACAGATTTACTCAGGGAGTTCTGTTGCTTTCTATAACCTGCAGGAGTGTGCCTTTTCCAAATAAAGACATAATGTCTTTTCTTGTGTGGAATCTTTTGTGATCTGGTACACATCCACATTTCTTCCTGGCTGCAAAAAAAATGTTAAAGGGACTCACTCCTACTCAAAAGGGGTCAAAGGAACTCTCTTGCTTTTTTAAATTCTTCAGTTCTGCAACTTCGTAATCTTGTAAACAAATTTTTTTTAATACACTTTTCCCTCTACATTACAACGCAGTGAATAATGCAAGAAAGCATGTGCATGTTTTCTGTGCCAACAATAATGCTTTTCAGAGGCAGAAGGGAATTATTACCTTAAATACGTTGAACTTTAGGAGCATGAATGTGCAGTTCTCTGCACATAAGTCATTAGAGAGAGCATAGTTTTGCTTCCTAAGTATATTATTTGTACTGACTCTAAAATGACAAATACAATTTCTTTTTGCTTTGGACTTCTGTTTGCCCTGCAGACACAACACAACACAGAAAAACCTGTCTGGTTCTTCTTATCCCCTCTTACTGTTGGAACTTACTCCTTGCCAGTACCTCAGCCAACTGCTAGAATCATCTCTGGGTCTTCAGGAGGTGTAAAATCACAGAATCACTCACTCATAGAAAGATTTAGTTTAGAAGACCTCTGGAAGTATCTAATCCGACTTTCAGCTCAAAGCAGACTTAAGTTTAAATCTGTATCAGGTTGCTCAAGGCCTTGTCCAGTCCAATTTGGAAAATCTCCAAGGATGGAAACTGTAAATCCTCTCAGCACCTATTCCAGTGCTACAATCAAAAAAAAAACCCTTGCCACAGCTCATGGTTACTGCCTTTTGTCCTATCACTGTGCAGTTCAGAGAAGAGTTTGACTTTGTTTCCTGTCCAAGCCCTTTTAGATAGTTGAAGATAGCTGAGAATGTGGTGACTGTTTCAGAAAAAGACCCCAGTAAAAGAGGCAACATTCACAGCATTAGATTGAAGACAGAAGCAAAATGAAAGTAGAGATGAATATACACACACAGAACTAGAACTGAAGAAACTCAAGGGTCCCTCAAGAGTCCACTAATATTAATATCTTAATTACTATCGTAGATGGTGGGATTGAGTTCACCCTCAGCAAGCTTGCAGATGACACAAAGCTCAGCTGTGCGGTTGATATACTTGAGGGAAAGGATGTCATCCAGTGGGACCTCGACAGGCTTGAGAAGTGGACCAGTGTGAACCTCATGAAGTTCAACAAGGCCAAGTGCAAGGTCCTGAACTCGAATCAGGGTAATCCCCAATGTCAGTACAGACTGGGTGATGAATTAATTGAGAGCAGCCCTGCAAAGAAGGACTTGGGGATACTGGTGGATGGAAAATTGTTCAGAAAGCCAATCATATCCCGAGCTGCATAAAAAGAAGCATGGGCAGCACGTTGAAAAAGGTGATACTCCCCATCTACTCTGCTCTGGGTGAGACCCCACCTGGAGTTTGGCATCCAGCTCTGATATCCCCAGTACAAGAAAGACATGGACCTGTTATAGTGGGTCCAGATGAGAGCCACAAAAATGACCAGAGTGCTGGAATACCTCTCCTCTGAAGAAAGGCTTAGAGATTTGGGGTTGTTCATCCTGGAAAAGAGATAATAAGGTCTCTCTGGGGAGAATAAGGTCTCTCTGGGGAGACCTTCTTGTGGCCTTTCAATACATATTGGGGCTTATAAGAAATGAAGAGAAAGACTTTTTACCAGGGTGTACAGTGGCAAGGAGCAATGGTTTTAAACTGAAAGAAGGTAGATTTTAATTGGATATTAGGAAGGAATGTTACACAATGAAGGTGATGAGACACTGGAACAGGTTGTCTAGGGTTGTGGAATGCCCCAGTCATTGGAAGTGTTTGAGGTCAGGTTGGATGCAGCTTTGAGCAACCTGATCTAGTGAAAGATGTCCCTGCCCATGGCAGGGGTTTGGACTAGATGATCTTTGAAGGTCCTTTCCAACCCAAATCATTCTATGATTCTGAGGTACAGACATACTTTGTTGGAACACACAGTTTTCATAAAATCCAAATGCTTTGTAAAATTGGACAGATTTGAGCAGATCACTGACTTAAAAGCAAACTGGAGAAAAACCTGACAACACTGTTTTTCCTATTTCTTCATCTACAGAATTTATTTTCTTTTTTTTTCTGAAATGAGTTGCTTTTTAAAATAAAATTGCATAACATTAGAGAGTCCAGGTCAAAATAGAAATCAACAGCTTTAGTGACCTTAAATAAGCTTATTTTCTGAAATACATCTTCCTTCCTTGAACATTTGAGAGTTGGTTTTTTTATTATTATGCTTCTTTGAGAATGAAGGTGATTTTTGGAAACTCAGTCATTCATGAAATATAACTTTATTTCTTTGCATCTTTTTCTTTAGAAAGGTTGTAAAGTCACCTCCAAACACCTACATGCCCAAGATTCTTCACAGAGAAAAGCAATTGCTTCTTGACACAGACCAGTATTGGCCTAGTTTGAATTTTAACATTATTAATAAAGTTTAAATGTATTTTGTTTTAAAATACATGAGGGAATGTGGCAACATGATAATTCATTCCCTTCAGCAGATTTTTTGGGGGGAGGAGGCAATATCCTGAAGTAGCAGGAATAAATTAAATAATATTGTTAATAAATTATGTAATTTTGTAGTTAGGACCTATTTTTTTCCACATTTCAACTGTTTTAAAAACAATCTTTTCTATATGAGCCAGTTTAACTCAAACATAGACTGCAGTTTAAATATTAAGAGATCATTGATCATGATCCTGCCCACACAGGTTTGATTTACTCTTTATCAATGGTTACATCCTCTGTAGAGTCTTTGCTGCCTTCAGTAGATTTTGTTTTCTTCATATAGCTGAGTTCTTTAACACATAATTTCTCTTGCTCTTGTTTTTCTTCTTTTCCTAGGTTGAATGCTCAAGCATATCTGACTACTCAGAAAAAATTATCAAGGCCAACCACTTGGACAACAGTAAGGCATATATAAAAATTATTTCTTTGTGAGAAAGAGAAGATAACTGTTTTGCTTTTTCTGATTAATTTATATTGTGTGGTTTATATGTAAATGGTGTTTTTGCATAGTTTACTTATGTAAATACAAAACTAAACACCTCATTCTAGGCACTACAACAGTTCCTCATGGGAGAAGTTACTTCTATGTTTACTTCTAGGCTCACAAACAACTGAAGCAAATCGGACTCCTTAGCAGGCAGTTCAATTTAGCAAAGCAGACAGAAGGCCCCATATTAGAGATGAACTTTATAAATTAATTCTGACATTTGAATTTCACCTTATCTCTTAAATAGAATCCATGCACACACATTCAAATTGAAATAAGATTCAAAGCAAAAAGTATTCCATGTCAATACAGATTTTTCGCTAAGGCTTTCTTCTGACTTCCAACTTTTAAAATAACATTTTTCAAAAAAAAAAAATCTTGAAACACACACACAAATGAAAATGTTAAATTCTCAGAATAACAGTATCATTAAAAACTTTTTTCCTCAAAAGGAAAAATTTCCAGGGATATGGAAACACTTCAGCTAAAAAAAATACTTAAAAAAACCCCCAACCTACTGAAAATTCTTAACAAATAATAATCTCCAGCAAGCTCTGTTTCATGTCTTGAGTCCTCCTCCAAATCACTGCACACAAGGTATCTTTGTAACAACCTGAAAACTCAGGCTTTTTAAAACTGATGCTGTGACACAGTTCTTGTTTAAAAGTGCACTTTGTGAAGAGCTTGCCTTTGCTGCCAAGCAGTGCAGGTCAGTGCAGGCTAGGCTGTTATCATTTGCCTCTGCTTTTAGCTGTGTCTGCGCTGGTGCTATGCTAGCACATGCACAGGAACAGATTTCTGTCCTGGTTTAGATCAGCTCTAATTTTTATTGCTGTCACTGGCAGCTTCTGACTAATACGGGGCTGTTTGGGAGAAGAATTTATTGTACAGCATGCATATTCAAGTAGTGTGGAGTGATATGGGATGTAAGAGGCCAGCCAGTGTATGCAACTTTTGGCTCAGAAAAAAGGAAGCAAAGGACCAGAAAATGCTCTCCTTCACAGTGGGGATAAGGGTAGGCCGATCAGGTGTTGACCTCAGCTTGGTTATCCTGCGCCTTTGGTGCAGACCACATATAATCGCAGAACAGCCTCTTATCAAATAGCTACACAAACAACATACTGTAAGTCAGTTCACGTTTGGATTTCCAGCAATAGGAATTGTGTGTAAAGGGACCATTGTCAGAATAAATAAGAATCTAGTGTGCTCCAGAGGTTGCAGAATGTAATTATCTTTGCTTCTTCCTCCTGTTTCTCCAAGGAGCAACTCCTTGTAAAAGCTGTGGAGGAAGAAGTAGAGACCCCCCACCTTTGGCAGGAGACTTGCCTGGATATTCAGCATTCTGTCTGACTGCAGTTTGGTCTCCAATATATACAAATTACAGAACTGAACTAACGTTTACACTCACACACTTTACCCACATTCACTTTGACGTTAGTGCAACCAGGTACTGAGCTAAAGGATCTTGTTACTCATGGAAATTTTTCTTTTTTTTTCCCCCTTAATTGTTCAGAGAAATGCAGAGTCAGCAAAAGGGGCTGAACCAAGAGAAACCCCACTGTTTCCAGAACAGGTACAATGCAGCTGGGGACAGCACAATTTGTTCCCACATGATGCCTTATGAAGATGTTTCCTCGAAGTGAAGGGAGGTGGGAGGAACTTGTGCTGCTGCTGCTTACACCGTGACTGTTCTTGGTATAAACAAGAAGGCTTTGTCTGCAGATGTGTCACTCTGGCAGCTGTCAACAGTGCTAAAATTCACTCCAAAAGAATTTTGGCAGTGAAAGTTCTTAGGAGAAAAGAGAACTATAGGGGGCCAGTCTGGATTAAAAGTTTGCTTTGCAAATAAAGTGGCCACATCTGGTTAGAGTAGTACTAGTACTGCATGTATTTTGGAAAGAGGAAACCTCATTTTCCCTGGTCTGAGTTCTAAAAATCACTCAACTTCAACTCTTGAACAGCTAACTGTTCTAGCTAAATGAAAGGACTTTCATATTCCTCAAACTGAATGTTGACCACTTTCATCAATAAAAATTGCCGTAATTAAAAATTGCCATTTATTAACAGTAGTACTCTTAATAAGAGTAATCTTATAAATTAGTAATGGAAAGTAAAATATTCCCTACTCACTTTATTCCTGAATTTTAAGTGCATCAGTTACCTTGTCAGGGAAAATCCAGAACCATGAGACTTTACTCACTGCAACAATATAAACGGCAGACAAACACAAGCTGAAAATTATTTATCTAAAGAATCTGGAATACATTTGTAAATAGGAAATATATAGAAAAAGCAAGAATGACTGGTGAATTGTGTAGTGATTATTTTTCATGAGAGAATTGTGTTTTTACAAACTTTCTTGTTTATGTGCTGTCAAGCTAGACCTGACTTTCTCAGTTGAGTCAGCTCCCCAGAATCCATGGAAGAAATAAGTCTTATTTTCCTCATTGTGAAGCCAGCATAGCATGTTTGAAAAGCAGATGAGAATTAGACCCTAGGTCCATAAATCTCTACTATCTCAGGGATGAGATCATGTATGTGCAACCCTACAGAGATGTTTAAAGGATTCTAGGTGGATTCTTTGCATCACTTGGTCAATGATCTAGAAATCTTCCAAAATCGAAAATTATATCATGCAGGTAATCAGGTAAGGCCTGTTTTTCTGTTGGTTTTTGTATATGGGTTTTATTTGGTTTGAGGTTTGGGGTTTTTGTTTGTTTGTTTTGGGGTTTTTGTTTGTTTGTTTTGTGTTTTTTTCCCCCTTTTATACTGATACTAAAACTTACGTTCATTTTACTTATTGCAAGTAGTTTTAAAATAATGTAAAATCCATTGAGTCACATGGAGTCACCCCTTATCTACAGGCATTCAAGAAGAGAATCATATTGAAAAGGTCAGCCTGACATTCACAAGTAAGGAACTTAGTCAAGTGTTTCATTATGTGAAACATATTTCTTTGGATTATTTTTCAGTAATCACAATATTTAAAGGTAAAGTGGAAGAAGTTGAATTACCTGTGGATAAAGTAGACATCATAATCAGCGAGTGGATGGGTTACTGTCTGTTCTATGAGTCAATGTTAAACACAGTCATCTTCGCACGAGACAAGTGGCTGGTAGGTGCTTTGTATGTCATAGTCTTTGCTGGAGGAATCGTCATTTATTTTCTGACCACAAGCCTTCCTTCTCCTATTGTCACCATAACAAGACACAGTTAATCTCCAAGTGCCATTTCTTAGGCTTTAACAAAAAGATTAACAAAGAGAATCTCAGTGAAAGAGCTTTGCTTTTGATTAACTGTTGGTGAAATTCGTATAGACACTATCTAATGACATTGCCACAGGCTGCAAGAGTTGCAATCTGAAGGAAACAATAAAGGCATGCAAGGGGTGTTTGTCTGGTTTTTGTATGTGCAGTTCAAAATGTGATGTCTTTGTCAGGTGAATAGATTACGAGATCCATTTCCCCACAATTCATCAACAGAAACCAGGAGGGCTAATGTTTCCAGACCGAGCTGCTTTGTACGTGGTAGCAATTGAAGACAGACAGTACAAGGACTTCAAAATTCACTGTGAGTGAATGCCTAACAGTAACCCTTTTGTATGGTTATTTCCCTAAAATATTTGATTTATAGTGGACTATTTTAATCTCTTTGCTGTCAAAGTTTTGCAAAAGCCAAGAAATCACACTGACCAGGACAGAATTACAATATAAACATTGAAAAACTGGAGAAAACTCCAGTCTGCTGATAAAGTCAGGAAACCTGCAGTAATTTAAAGTGCACAAAGGAAAGAAGCATAAATAAACTGATGTAGAACTTGCTTAGAGTTATATTGATACCTTTTAAAGTGTGGATTTTAGGAGATTTGGTTTTATTGTTGTTTTGATAAATGTATCGTCCAACATAACTGCCATTAAAATTGGTGCTGGCTTTTGTCTTTAAAATAACAGGAACCGAAAAATTACTAAGATGCAATTGAATTGTAAATGTTAGGAAATAAGCCTAGAAAAAATTGATATCTCACTAATAAGCTTGTCGAGAAGAAAAAAAAAAAAAAGTAATGCTTTTTTAACTTTTTAAAATACTTTATATGAGAATTTTTAAATGCAATGTAAGAATCATAAATGTCCATTTTACTTTGATGTGGAAAAAAGTTCTAAACCTTTTTGGTTTACTTCATAGATCCATAAAATCGACTTTTCCTTTACATTTAAAATGGTTTTTTTTCCTTGAAGTTTAATTGAATAACTGGTGCTGTTAGTGACCTCTACAGGTCACCTAGTCCAGTTTCCTGCTCCAAGCGGGCCAGATTTCATAGTTCAGTTTCATAGCAGGTCACTCAGGGCCCTGCCCTGCAGAGTCAAGAGATGGGGATTCTATAGCTTCTTTGGGCACTTGTTCAAATGCTGAAGTACCCTCAGGAGTAAACATGTTTCTAAATATCCAGTCAGAATTTTCCTAGCTGAAACTTGCCTTCATTGTCCCTTGTCACCCGAAGGGAATCTGACTTTTTCTTTGTTTCTGTAGCAGCAGCTACCAATTAGATCTACCATTAGCCTTTGCTGTCCCAGGCTAAGTAAACCCAGTTTTCTTGGACACTCCTCTTATTTTAGCATGTGGTTCACTTTCATGATCACAAGGTCATACTCCTGGTTCATGGTCAACTTGTTGTCTGCCAGGTCACCCAAGTTTGGATCTGTTTGGTCATAATAGTTTTGATGAAATGAGTAGGTTCTACATTATTTTACTCTTGTTTTATTTTTTCATTTTTTTTCTTTTTTTTTGACTTTTGCTTATTTTTTCAGAGCTGGTCAATTTTACTTAAAGGCATTTTCCATCAGGGGAACAAAAAAAAAATCACTAAATTCCTAAGCAGTTTTATTAAGTAAGGATACAATGCAAAAGCTTGGGTAAAATTAGTGGGTTCAGTCAAACTTTAAATGAAAATGCCTAATTCCTCATTCCTTGCATCTCAGTTCCTCTCAGAAAATAAAGTTTGGTGTTTCTGTAATCAAATTCAGTGCCAATACACAAAACTGCTAATGGGTCAAAACAGCCATTTAGGGTCAAAAGCAAGCCCAGTGCACTGGGGCAGCGGGAAGAAGTCTGTGTAGGTGCCAGGGAGATTTATATCTACTCTTCAAGCACAGCCTAGATTTTTCTCCTCAGTTATGTGATGACCTTGACAGGTAAATTCCTTACAAAATTTACATACTTGAACAGATGTATGAGGCATCCATTCTGTAAAGGAATCAAAGCCATTTTGGCCTAAAAAAAATCCCTTATGCCTTCTTTCTCCTTGCTTTTGAATCCCTTCCTTTCTAGGCCTTGAGCCTTTTTCTTTTCTCACAGATAATATACCTGTTTTCAACTCATTTACTTTTTCATAATTTAAAAAAAAATATGTTTTGAGTTCTTCTTGTCTTCTAAAATGTTGTTTTCCTTTAAGACACTTTCTTTTCTGATTTCACCTCTGATTCCCCTTCCCCTCTCACTTTTTTATACCTCTGTGTCTTCTTCAGTTATTTCCATCTCACTACCTATCTGCACCACCATCTTGTCTCCCTTTTCAGTTTATAAATCCTTAATGGTGTCTCCTTACATTTCAGTTTTTCATCTTTTTCTCTCTTAAGGTGGATAGAGCCTTGCCTTCATATAAGTTGCAGGGCTGAGCATTTCAAAGGACAATCAAGAAGCATCATATTGATTAAGAAATAATACAATATGAAGTTCCTAAAAAAATCTGACTTCTGATTTCTCAGATTTTATTAATGCCATGTAGTACTACTATAGTAAATTAACCTGATTTCCTGCAAAATGTAAAACATAAAATTTTATCTTTTAACTCCTGTGACAGGTCTCTGTATAACACAGACTGTGGCATATATTTCAAAGGCATCCCATGCAGGCTGAAGTACATCAAGTGATAGAGGCCCCAACAACTCTATTAATAAATTGTTCCTTCGGGGTTTCCTAATTAATCTTTTCTCAGTAATCATGTAAAAACATATGGCTTCAAGGAATAAAATCTGAAGTTCCCACATGCTCATGATACCTGAAACGAAAGTTTTGATCACCACCTCCCCTGAAATATTGAGAAACTGACAGCCCAATAAAGAGATAACGTATCAAAGAACTTTTCATGCCCAGATTTGTTCCAATTTAGAAATATTCAGATATTTTGCTCATGCCACACTTTCAGTCATAGTCCTCTTGGAACACCAGTAGCTCAAATGCTACGCTCTGAAAAAACAAGACATTTCAAACATGCTTACTATTGCTGTTTATCAGTTTACCTTCCTTGTGTTTAAACAATTTTTTTAGAAGCTCACAGTATTCAGTATCACAAAGTAAAAGGATCACAGCATTCAGTTTAGATTTTCAGATGGACCACTGACTCATGACTTCGGGTGGACCTTGACTCATATGATTCGTAAGACTAAGATTTCACTTTTTTTTTTGGAGGGTTTTGTTTTCTTTTTATTAAGCAATCTTAAAAGCAATGTCAGTGTACTTTTCAACGTTTCGATGTTTCAATGGTTCATTTTGTTAAAGGAAAAAAAACTCAGGAAGATAAGCATTTATCAGAACAATCAGAAGAACAGTTCAAATACAGAAGATCAGTGTGGCTTTTAAATCTTTTAAACAGTGAACATTTTGCTTTTTTGTCATGATGTACATGCAAATTAAAACTTGGATGCTCCAAATATTGAAACACACCTGTAATTCTACTTCTGTCAGTAATTCACTTGCTGAAACTAAGACTACTTAAAGAAATAAAAGAGCATGCAAACTGCTCATTGATTAGCAGTTTAAAAATAAATGAAATATTAACCAGAATGGATAGGAAAGGATAGAATAATCTTAGCAGATATTCCAAAGTCTCAACTTGACATATTATATTATTTTGGACAACACTCTCAAATGCCTAAAGGCATGAATATCATTGACAAATCTTGTATAACACAGTTTTGGGAACATCAAAAAACAAGGGCCACTTGTTCAAAGATGTACATTGGGGGGTTATTTAGCCACAACTGCATTATCTGTAAAATAGCAAAGATGACACAGACAGCTGCAGCAGGGAGCAGAGAGCTAAAGAGAAGAGCTGAAATTTAGGGATGGTAGAAATTCTTTAAAATTATAGATGCCTTGAGAAACAAAAAATATTTTTATTATCACTGCTAATCTTTGACACATCCATTTGCATTGACAGGGTGGGAGAATGTGTACGGCTTTGACATGACCTGTATTAGGGATGTTGCCATGAAGGAGCCTTTGGTGGACATAGTAGACCCAAAGCAAGTGGTGACCAATGCCTGTTTAATAAAGGTTTGGCAATTCCAAATGTACGTAATTATGAATGTTTACACCTAACTGTAGGATTCTTTGGAGACCTGCTATGTTTTACTACTATCTTTGTATGCTTCTAACTAGCTGCAGAAGCCATCATCATAGAATGCTGTCACACTAACAAGGAAAATTGTGCAGTTTTAAATAAGTCAACACTAGTATGTTGCACATGCCCAATACTGTCACCTGAGCTAAGTATGACCATTGATACCTTCATTGCTTATGGAATACCCAAAAGCAAAAGTCTCCTTGTGACTCTGTACTCATCTGGCTACTGCTAACTGTGACTTCAGAGTCTTTCAAATTATACATGTGCAAATACTGGATAAATAGTGACATGGTGTATTTAGATACAAATTTTAATTGCCCTACCTTCTTGTAAATAGAAGTTGGAAATTACTGATAGAATGTTACTGAGGAGAAGGGGCACATTAATTATGTTTTCAGTAAAAAAGACAGAAGCATCAGTTTCTGAATTGGTCAGCTCTGATGAAATAATGCTAATTTACTCCAGAGCATGAGATCAGCATTGGAACCTAATTTATTTGTATAACTTCCCAGTTCTTAGCCTTATCCAGAATGTTACTGCGATCTCCCAACCCCAAAATCTGCAGCCAGATGTTAGCTTGTACACTGTTCTACATATAAAACCGAATGGTCACTACTCCCTATTCCCAAGACCAGGTTAAGAATCCATAGTCTGCAGGAACACAGGAAAGCTTTAAAATTCCTTCCATGTGAAGGAATCCTCCTCATGTGGTACTACTCTCATGAATAAGGCTGTCCACATCAACAGCTGTGGTACGATCAGGCCCATGAATCCAAGAGCGTGTTCATTTTTCCCAAAGACTCAGTTCAATTTTTTCCCCTTTCACTTTTTTGCCAGCAACAAACACAGCATTCCCATATGCAAAAATGAAAGACATACAAACTCTCTGTGAGTACATAAGCATGCACAGTCCATCTGCACTGAGGGGAACACAAGATGGTTGTGTCTGAAAATAGCCTGAGCCAGAGCAATTTAAAATTTAAAAAAACCACGCAGAATAAACACTTATTTAGACTACATAAAGTATGTCTAGAGAGTGAGAGATCAGGTGGCTAAATGGGTTGGTTTCTCTGGAATAAAGTTATAAAGGTGCATGCCCTTAAATGAAGTGCAAATCTAATGCTTAGAAGGTCTTTGAAAGTAATTTGGTTTAAGAAGACAGATACAATTTTTCAAACTGTTCCTATTCAGGTTTTATATTTAATTCTACACAGCCCAACATCTTTTGTCCATACACTGAACGGTGCTTTACCATGTAATGACACCTTGGGAGCAAAGCAAGTAGTAACCACACAAGCAGAAACCACTCTTTGTTCCAGAATCTGTCTCCAATCTCACAAACTGATCATTAAAAAAAGAGAAAATTGTCAATGAAAGGCAGGAAGGAGGGAGGCTTTTGTTCAAGCTAGCAATATGGAAGTAGAAAAAACGGAGGCTGCGTTTCTTTTTTAAATTTAATTTACTCTTGCACATGGTTTATTTATATAAAGTGCATTTATTTATTTGATCCTGAAAATAATTGTGAATTCAGAGAATAATACTAGCCTAAGAAAACATTTGAGAATAAACAAAGCAATGATATTTAATTATTCAAATGTTTTATTATAGCATTTCAAGATGGCGCAGCTTATTCATATTAGATTCACAAAGGGAATTTTTAGGGGTGTATTCAGCCCAAAACCAGCTAACTTAGGATGCCTACCAGATGAGCCTGGGTTCCCTGTACATTAGTCAGTAGATGGACTAGTCACTAGATGCATTCCTAACAGACCAGCCAGAGCCCTGTGCTTCTGCAGTTATTTCAATTCCCAACTTAGATGCTCTGAATTATTCTACAAAATCAGCAAAAAAAGACATCAAACCCTGCATGCTGTGTAACCATGACACTTTCTAGAATGCTGGAGATGTGAGTAAAATTTCCTCATTTGTACTCTTCAGGAATTGGATGTATCCCAAGTCTGGAACCCTTCAAGGAACTCTAGCCACTAAGCCACAGGTGGACTGAGGGCAGTGCATGCAGGAAATACAGCATCTTCTCTGTTGTGGAAGCAATTCCCCTTTGAATGATCTCTTAAATATATTCCAGGGTTGTAGGAATTTTCTTGGCAAGTAGGAGTCATCTGTTTAAATTCAAAACCAAATCAGCCAGGGAGGGTAGTGGACCAGAGCATCTTCAAACCACCAGAGTCAATAACTCATCTCAGGAAAAGTGTACAAGTGTCCGTCTGAGGGCCTACTGTTTTCAGTAACACTGCCTGAAAAAATGGAAAAGTTTGTTTCAAACTCAGTAAAACAGTTGTGTTTTCTTCTCTGATCCCCCTGCATATTAGAGAAATACAAATGTGTTTGGGTTGACCCCAAACTTTTTCTCCATGTTAATTTTGATTTGGTGTCAGCAGCAGAGACTACAATAACAATAAATCAATTATTCACACAGCTGTAGAAAAACCTGCCATGAGTGAGTGCCAAAAACTCACAAAACTAAACAAGGATGGAGAAAATGCCATGTCCAGTTTATAATTTAAAAAAAGGATACACACCACGTTAAGATTATACAGTTTAACGCTGCTTGAAGCACAAACTGCCTTCCCTGCACTAAAAAAAAAAAAAAAAATTTCTTGTTTATCACAGAACATAGCATAAAAATTGACCTGTATGCTCAAATAGACAGTTCTTGGAGATTCTGCTGTTTTGGAAATATCATGATTGACCTGTGTGCAGCTTTTTTTCCAAGGACCTGCAGTGTTTTCTGCAACAGATACTGTTGCTCAGAGAGATCCAGCCACAAAGGTGAGGCACTTGTCTTTGAGCTCTGATGAGTCCCATGTTCTTCTCCCATAGTCCTCTTGACCCATGAGGTTTAGTACAAGGCATTCCTCATGAGACTTTTGCTTCACTGCAAGTTCAGTGAAGTCCCTAATCATGTTCCTTTCTCCTAGCTTCTCCTAAAGTAAAGCAAGAGGCACCTATGGCACTAATTTTCCATCTTTCTTTACTGCTCTTTGTTTTCTCATTTTTCTTCTCTACTCTTCTCTCCACATGAAAATCTCCCTTCCCTTTCCCAAGTGATTTTCCTTGTCACTCTTTTCTTTCTAACAGTTCTCCCCAGAGTCTTTCTTTTTGGCACCCTCAGATTTAACTTTGCCTGTTCCTCCCACCCCTCCAAAAAAAAAACAAAAAACCAAAAACCAACCCCAAAGAAACAAACAAACCCCAAACAATACCCTAGTAAAGTTCAGGCATTTCCTTTGGTGCAAATGGGAAAAGATGGCATAAGAGGGGTCCTGGCAGGAGGCTGATGTCTCTTATCTAGAAGCCATAGCTACACTTGCTTCCCTGTTATTTCATCTAATAGAAAACCAAAATATGCTGCAGTATCAAAACAATCTCAGATACCCCATTCTTCCTTTCATTTCTCTCCCAAAACATCCAGAATTTAATTTCGTTTCTTCTCTCCCAACATTAATACTGTTAGTTGTCTGCACTCTTTAAAAAAATATTTTCTTTCGGAAAGTGAATGTGTTTTGGGACTGACTATTGAATTCATTGCTCCCCTCACATCTATGCATGTATGCAACTGGCAATAGACGTCACTTTCGCAATGCTTGTCAGAAAAAAAATTTTGGCCCTTTCTCCTTTCTCTAGCAATTAATTTTACTTCTCAGCCTTCAGATCAATCCTTTTCCTGAAGCTGACAATACTCTACCAATGCCGCCTGTCCTCCAGCTTCTACATAAGTTCAACACCTTTACCTGCACTGCCTTCACCATCACACCTTGTGTTGGGTTGACCATTTCCCTCTTTGTCCAAACCAAGACAGCTGGTGCAGTGGGAGAGAGGAAGGGGGGAAAAACTCCAACCCCAAATCCAAAACAAACTGACCAAACGAAAAAACCCACCGAAACCAGGCATTCACTGAGATTTCAATCTTTACCATACCTCCATGCACACACAACCCTAGCTGAGTAGCAACCTTAATTACAGTTCACATGACAAAATGGGTCAGACAGTGAGTCAGCATGTTTCCTATCAGCAAACCTGATTCAGGGCTCTTTCTCTCATTCGTTAGGTTGCCTTCAGCTAGGGTGATACCATTCAAACAAGAAATACATAGCAGCTGGCAACACCACATCTCGACCTCACTGTCATCATCCCTGTGATTCTAAATGATCTTCTATACATCATTTGCTGAGTCCTAAAGCAATTTGTTCCACTGGACAGCCCAAGAACCGTTCTTTATGCAGTGAATGTAAAAACTGGACCTCTCTCTGTCTCTCTGCAAGAGGGACACGTAGCATGGGATATCTCATGGTCTTCCACGCAGTGTCAGCTACAGACTGGACCTCCTTTTTTAGCTGATAATTCTGACACTTTTATTGTTGCTCAGCTTAACACATTTTAATTCTTTTAGTATACTTAAGAACTGTGTTTTGATCAGATCCCTGCTTAACTATGCCCATTTCGTTGTTGGTTTTGAAATCTGAATGAAAACTGGTAAATCATGACTTTTCCACTTATTTTATGCAAAGATATGGATTTGTTGCCTGTGCTCTTAGCTGAAATTAACATTCAATGAGCAGTGAAATTTAATATAAGAATATACAGTAGCCAGAGTACGATTCACAGAGATCACCCAAACAGGATTAGACCAGTTTCAAAACTATATTTATAAATAAAAAAACCCACATTGGTCTCATATCTTGCATAGTAAAAAAAAAAAACGCGTTTCTGTCCTTAAAAAAAAAAAAAAAGACTGCAGGAGTGACCACCATTTTGTCCAGCACATCTGTTCAATATTTCCACTAACTTCTCTAATAAAAATATTTCCTATTGTTTTTGATTCCATTTTACCTTGCAGAGCCAACACAGCTCAGAGAGAGGGAGCTAGATCCCTTTTGTGTGCCTCATCATTGGGACTTCATTCACAATTTCCCCACAGTGATACCATGAAAATGACAACAAAAATGACAGAAATCTGCAGCTATCACCCACCCCACCAGTCCAGTCACGCTTGTCAAAGCAAATTTTGCAGGCTGCTATGGAAGTCTGCCAGGAGATTTCAAAAATTCTTATTCCTAGTATACTTTTTTCTTTTTATCTTCTTTTGAGAAAAAACCCCACGTTAAGGGTATCTCAACTTTAAATGGCCATTTATAAGCATGGGTCACTTATAAGCACTAGTGACTCCAGGTGCCATTGCAATGTAGTAGAATAATTTTCATTATGGTTAAGTTATTCTTTAACAATATTGCTAATCAGAGAGGCCAAAACTATAGCTTGCTTAAATCATCTCACCATAAGTTTTCTAAGTCTCAGAAACACATGATATGTCGTCCATGCAAAGACCTCCGTAACTGAAATATGGCTGCATCTTTTGATGTCTATTTTTGCAGATTTCTCGTAGATTACAGAATGGAATTGCTAAAAGACCCCTCTTGTGCCCTAAAAGAGGCTAAAAGAGCCCTCTAATAAACATTATAGACTGTGCTTTCTTTTTTGCAGTGTGAGTCTGAAACAATGCTGGTGAGGTCAGTGATACGATTCCTGGCTTATATTGGTAGAGTAGAGGAAATTTGGATTTCTGCCTACAAAGCTTTTATTTCTCTGTATGCATGAGCAGTTTTGTTGTTAATACTGACTTTCCAAATAATAGAAAAATATTTTGGGGGCATCTGGCTCTTGACAAATATGCTCTGACAAAGACAGTAAGGACAGTGAAGCCAGATACACTGAGAAGGATATCAGAAAGTGCACTGATAGGAAACAATTCCTATAGCATTAGAATACAATTATTAGTATTTCAGACTTAGTATTCCTCCCTAACATGACTATGAGTTATTCCCTATCTGGGAAAATGAGATCCGTCTAAAAAACTCAGTTTAAGGCTTGGAGATTTAAATATTGATTAAAATAAGCAATCTTGGAGACGACAGCATTGCTCCCAACGACTGCAATCAAGCCATAGTATGATTTACATGATTTGTTTCTGTCTAGTTCAAGAGTAAGATCCCTATGCTTACTATTTGGAATTGGCTATCTGACACAGGACTAGAAAGCATTATCAGCAAAAAGTAGGTCCCTGTCATGCCTCAAATGCTTTGACTGCTTGACAGTCAAACTCATTCCCTTCCGGAGATGCTCAAACAAATGAGAAGTTTATTTTTATTAAAAACCCAACTCTGCCGTCTTTCCTCATGGTGACAGTCCCTGATGACGAAAGGTCTTAGAACTGAGACCTGTATCTCCATTTCATCATCCATTGAGCCCAAGCATGTTTCTACCTTGATTTCCTCCAGCTCCCACAGTCCCTCTCTGCCATTCCCAAGCACACACACTCTTCTGTAAGTGGCATCTCTCATCACACTCTGTCAAGTTAGTCAGATAACTGTATCATTTGCTGATGATTTGATATATCTGAATGTACCATTGATTTCTTACAGTGTTAAATGCTGCCAGTTGTCTTTGTTGATAATCATTAAATAAAATGCTTAAGTACATCACTTAACACTTGCCTTAGAGTCACAGATACCTGCATATAAATGTCTTTCTTCTGAAAACAGGAAGTAGATATTTATACAGTGAAGACTGAAGAATTGGCATTTACTTCTGCCTTCTGCCTCCAAATTCAGCGTAATGACTACATTCATGCTTTGGTCACCTATTTTAATATCGAATTTACAAAATGCCACAAGAAGATGGGATTTTCTACAGGTAATCTGTATTTCTTTTAATTTATTTTCTATTGCTATCAGTATATCAGTGCTACTGGTCAGATGGTACATGAAGGTTTACTGTACCACTTATATCTGACTTATAGATATACCAATTATATCTGACAAACCTGATTGCCTTCTAGATGACTAGTTGTGTGGATGAGAGAAGATCAGTAGCTGTTGTATACCTTGACTTTAGCAAAGCCTTTTATACAACCTTGCATAGCATCCTTACAGTTATATTGGTGACATACAGACTGGATAAGTGAACAATAACACGGATGAAAAACTGGCTCAAAATATGTCAGTCGGCAAAGACAAAGCAGATGCCGGTTCTTAGTAGCATCCCACAGGTGACTGTTGTGGTTTTGTGTGGTGGGTTTGTTTGGGAGCAGGGAGAGGCCACAGTAGTGGCTCCTGTAAGTAACTGCTAAAGGTTTCCCTGGACTCCAAGTCGGCTGGTAGCAAGGGACGGGCTGCAGTGGCAACCCCTGTAAGTAACTGCTCAGAGTTCCCC